AAGTATGATAAGCAGAAACAGCTAAAAGTTCACTGCTACTTATACTTCATACACGCTATCTCAAGTCTTCCAGTTTGCCCCAGTGTGGGCAAACTGCTAAGTAGTAAAACCAAGATACTGTACTGTGTTTTTACAAAAAATAAGATTTTATTGTACTTTCTGTGAACATTATGCTCCTCTCCCTATGGCAGGACAATTAAAAATAAGCCAACCCATTCTCTAAGCTGGGTTTTCAATTGGATGGGTGGAGTGTTGCTTCTGTTCTTTCAAATGCCTTAATTTCATGTGTCTCTTTCAGAAGAATGAGATGTTCATCTGTATCATGCGCAACTGAAGGTCACTGCTACAATAAAGCCTATAGCAGTACAAGTTAGAAGTAAAAGGGACCTAGAAGAGCAGAATATTCGGGGTATATGTTATGACATCTAAGAGATGACAGAGGAGTCGAGCAACATGCTGAGACACTCACAGCCATCACTTTCAGACCAGGACTAAACCCCAGGTCTCCTGCCATCAAATACATCACTATTTCTTCCTTCTCACTTTACAAGTCTCTGTAGCTGTTGACTCTCATGCACATAATAAAACCCCATTAAAATGACTAGTACCAGACAAAGCCAACCCCTTGTGAATGAGACAAGCTCTAACATTTCATTTAAAAATTGAGTATTTGATATCAGATACATATTTTACCACAGGAACCACATGGAGAGAGAGACCAGAATGCCTTCAGAGTTTCTGTCTCTTCTCCAGATACCTGTTACCCTGAGGCAATGTGGATCTCAGAGTCCTTGGCACCAGGACTAATTTCCACTTTCTTTCTTTGTAGGAGACAGCACCTCTTGGGCCACATTTCCTTATGAATTCTGAGTTGGAGAATGTGGTCAAGTCAGAGCTGCTTTTTGAAGAGAGCACGACTTTCAGGATAGAGAATGGTTGTGGTTCATACTTAAGACATTATCTGTTATTTGTCCCTTCTCCTCTATTTGTTAAGAGTGATAGATTAATCTTTTCTGAGAGTTTCAGATAAATAGGATACAGAAGTGTAATACTCTTGAATATTTCCTTTCGTATGAATTTCATACACAGAAGTGTAACACTCTTGAATATTTCCTTTCGTATGAATCTGAAAACAGATAACCTTTCAATAAAAACTTGTTGACAGAAGACCATAGTCTGTCTAGTTTACAGTATTGGGTTGTTTGCTCCATTAAAAAGAAAGGAAATCCAGTTTTTTTTTTCTTTTTCCCTAGAACTAGCATTCTTAGAGGAAAAACATTGAGATTTTGGTGAAATGTTGCTAGGTTAATCTTAGGTTCGTTAAAATAAATTCACAGGAAATCTATATCAAAATATTTTATTTTCTCAAAAGTTCAACTTTGATAATTTTCTCAAAGTGTCATATTAAAAACTAAATTACTAAAATAAAATCCAGTAGGCAAAACAAAACAAAAAAGTATAAAAATGCAAGTGATTTAGGAAATGAGACAGCCCCTTTCTTAAACTTCAAATTAAACCTTAGATATTTAACAAAGTTGACAAATTATTTCTGTTTACAAAAATGGTATTTTTAGTATTTGTTGATTTTAAAAGATGATCTTGCTTTTAGGCTGCCCCGATGTGTTCTAAAGATACCAGTGTTTGTCCAAACTGTGCACCAAAATCTCTTTTGGAAGGAAGTGTGGATTTTCAGTCAGTATAAGAAAGAAAGCCTCACCTGAAGCCAGAAGAACTCTGTAGATGACCCAGCTCTGCTACTGTTGTGTGACTTTCTAAATCTAATTATTTTCCTCATTTAATTTCCTTTTGCTTCAAATTTTTCAAGTAAGAAGTAGAGATAATTATATCCATCATATTAACCCACCAGGATGTGATGATCAAACAATTTAATAAACTAATACTTCATAAAATATAAACCTTATTTTATACACAACAGTTACCTATATAATTGAGACTTACCCTTTTTCAGGGGTAGCTATTGTATTGTAGCACCATGAACTACAGAAACAAAACATGCTGGGTGAGAGTCTTTAGATATTCTTTTACTTTCAAAATAGCTACTTGTGTGACCTCAGCAAATCAAATAAACTTTTTGTAAAATAGATAACTAAAAAAATTTCCCCCTTTTTTATGTTATCTTCTTGAACTTGAGTACTAGTCGGGACACACTTGGCTTCTGGATCTATAATGCAACTAACATGGGAACATTTTGTCTTTCCATAGCTCAGCCCCATGTCTGGAAACACCCTCCAACTTTGACTGAAAGAACTCTCTACTATAATCCACATAGCTTATTGTGCATTTAAAAATGAAAATATTAGCAACTAATTGGAGCTTTCACAGAAGTAATATAATACAACAGCTTAAAACACAAACAATTCCTTTTTTTTAATAAATGCTTCAAGTATCTAAACTGTATGAATCAAAAACAATTTTGAGATCCATCACTGCAGAGCACTGCTTGAATAAAATTTCATCTATATCTTTGATTCACTGAAAATGTTAAGAAACTGTAAAAGCCAACACATGAAAAATTCTATAATTAGCTCAATGTATTACTAAATCATTTTGTTTTTCCTACCCAAGTATTAAACAGAATGTCTTCAACTGCTTTATAATTCTTAAGAGAAACTGATTTATAATCACTGACAATTATGTTAGATACTGAAAATATTCAGATTTAGCACAAATATTGATGGACAACAACTTGATTTTTCCTGATCATTGCCAGTTTCTTGAAAAAAACCTGTAAAAGTTCCCAGTCATCAATTCCTTAAGTTCAAAGTTCCTTGGACAAGTGGTATGACTAATATATTTCCACACAATGTTTGGTAATTCCAGTTTATTTTTTTGCATATCAATACTTCTGGTTTCCAATAAAATATCATGTTTCTTGTATTCACTGAAATAGAGGATCAAATTAACTATTCTATAAGCTTTAACTGAATATGTCTTATATAAGAAAAGATGTTAATAAAATAGCTGAATTACTACACTGATTTGTGGAAATGTGATGTGTTCTGGTAAACAAACAATACTATTTAAATTCAATTTGTTGCAGCTGCTATTAAACCTATATTAATATTTTAATAGGATACTACAAGACACAGCAATATCATAGCAGTTGGTCAACTCTTTATAAAATCATTTTTACTCAAATGCAATACAAATAATTTTAAGGAATTATTGGCATAATGAATTTTAATATTTTAGAAATTTTTTAATATTTTAGAAAATGTCCCAGTTTTTGAATAGGAATATAGTCCTGACTCAGGCACCGCCCGCAGGCATCTGCAAACCTGTGTGTAAGACAAGCGAGGTCGTATCTTAGAGGGATGTCTCTATGGGAAGGCTGGAATCACAGTTTACCATTTCAGTTCCAAAGATCTTAGGCAGTAGAATAGAAAGTAAAGCCCCAGTGGGCTTTCTTTCAAAGTGTCCCACACTTTTACCTAAAAATCAGTGACAATATTTTTTTAAATTTTAAACCAAAACACACACACACACACACACACACACCAAAACAAAAAGCTTCCTGCAATTCTTATTGTCCTTATCAGGCATTAGGGCAGAGTGGAAAGACTTCGTGGTAGTTTAACGGTGTCTGGCCCAGGGTTAGAGATTTTGCACGGGAGAGCAGCTTCAGGCCAGGCATAGAAACCACCAGGGGCCTTTTCAGAACCCTTTGCTACCCCCACAGAGAAGGGATGCTTAAAGAGGAAATTGCCTGTGGAGCTGGGAAAGCTCTATTTCATTACAGAATATAAATACTTCAAGTCTCTAGATGGCAGCCTTCAACGCGCTTGAAAAGCAGTTTCGTCCTCCTCTGCCACCTCCACTCCACTCTCACCCCCATCTTGGCTACTTGGCAATATAGTATCAGCTACATGTGTGCCCTAGCCTGCGGATGTTGGGTTTTGCTGCTCTCCAAGAAAGCGAGCTGAAAACTGTTTATTCCTGTGCCTGATGATCTCGGCGGGAAGCTGCCTAGATGGGAGCTTGAGGAAAGGGGGAAGGAAGGGATGACAGCATGAGCAACAGGAAGCCCCTCGCCCAGCAGAGGTGGGGCTGTGAGGGCAGGAGCCAGACCCCCGCACCCATAGGTCTTCAACATTTCCCGCTCTTTGGGTGGACCCTCTGAACTGCACAAAGAACACAAAAGCCACCTACCAGCTGAGGGAACACAATCGGTGCTACAACCTCAATTTACCCCCTAAACGTTTTGTGGGGGGTTGAAATAGAAAAATCTCAGTTTCTCAAATTCACAAAGGACTGAGTGTGAAGGAGCGCGGGACGGGGGCAAAGCGGGGAGAAGGAGACGCAAACCGGGGAAACGCGCTGCTCCCACCTGGTTTGAGACGAAGGTGGCGTCCCTGAATTACCCCGTGTGGACCCCAGGCTGGGACGGAGGCAGGGAACGCGCTCGGCCAGTGCAGAGTTGTCTAGGATATGGGAGCGGGTGGGACTGGAGCGGCCCAGGTCCTGCTGTCCCAGGTCTCAAATGGGGCTCAGCCTAGGTGTCGTCGGGGATTAGGGGCAATTTCACCACCCCACTCCCCCGCCCTTCTCCCCAACCACTTGCCACCCCGGCAACGGCGGACACTCGCTCAGATCCAGATGGACAGGGATGGGGGTACTTTGCCCGAGTCTTGCTCCCTCCTATTCTCATCCTTACCTTGAAGCGGATCTCCCCTCAAGGCGCGAACCCCGTGCAGGCTGCGTCCACGGAAAGTGCGGTTCCTGGCTCCCACCGCGGAGAGCAGACCCCGGCCCCGGCCCCAGAGGCTGGCGGGAGCTGTACCCCAACCCCGAGTTTCCCCGGCGCGCAGGCCGCACCCAGCTCCGCGCCCTGTGGGGCAGTGGACAGGGGTCACTGGTCCCTAGGGTGGCCAGACCCTACCAAGTGTAGACCCTAACGCCCCGAAAGCTCGAGAGTCACCCGAGGCGCACGGCGGAGTTTGAGGGCGACTGGGTGGGGCTACGGGGAGAGCAGGTCTTACCTGGGTACGGAGAGAAGGGAGTTGCCATCCATTGTCGATGGGCGCGCAGAGAAGAGGCGGAAAGCGCGGGCGAAGGACGGAAGTCTGTGGCGCGAGGATCTGGTTCCCGGAGCGCACGGACGGGCGCGCGCGGGGACAAAGGCGCGCAAGCTGGGACCGCTGTCGAGACACGCTCCGCCCCGGCCGGGAAGCGCTGCGCGCCGCGACCGCTGGAAGGTCCCTCCCGGTCGCCCCTCAGATCTGGCTGGAGCGCAGGGCCAAAACTGCAGTTCTTTGCCTTGCTCCTGTCCTGCCTCTCTCCACTGAAGCCCCAGGCAAGGTTGCTGCAGGCTCCCTCTGAGCTTTTCTTGCCTCTCCTGGAGCCTAGCAGAGGTGACTCCGACAGAATTTCTCTCTCCCCGCCCCGCGATAGCGTCTCCTTCCCTCTACCTCTAGGGTATAACAGGTCTCAGCCCCGAAGTTGTTCACCCACTTTCCCACATTCACGCTGTACTGGCAATGTCCATATTCCCCACTGGTCGCGCACCAGTCCTCTGGCTGCTTCTCTAGATCTGGGGAGTTTTTTGTTACCTTCCGCAATGTAGTGGCTGATAACTCCGGGCAATGCAATGCTCTCCTTGATCCCCCAACTATTTTCCTTTTACGTAGACTCTCTTTCCTGTTTCGGGTTCTCACAATTCATCTAACTCATTTTGCTTAATTGTGACTCACTTATGCCTTGCTTGTTAGAAGCTTGTGTGCACAGATCTCAAAAGCCCTGACAGTAGCCATCCATCAGAGATCAGCACCCAGGCCCTGGGAGGAAGTTCTGTAACAAAAATTTCTCAGTGCCTGCTGCAGTATTTCCTTGAGCAAAAATGACATTTGTTTTAAGAAGAAAGACATTTCGTCGTAGCAAATGACTCTTAAGAGGGTACTACTGACTCTGATCCTTTTTCATTACATGAAACATACATGTTATATATTTATATAAAAGAAAACCATAGAACTTCCACAAATGGAGTTTGTGGAGTATTTGTGGAGTATTTGTATTTTGCCCTATTCCTCCTGGGCAACTAAAAACTGGAGATTACAAAACAAATATGAGAAAACAAGAAGGTACACAGAAGAAGGCAGACAAGCTAGGGACCTTGGGACACAAGGATTGAGATTGCAGTGATTTACTGGGTTTTCTTTTTGCCACACAGATCCCAGCCTTGGGGCTGAAGAAGCTGGCAAACTGGAAATGTCAATGGGTGCAGACAGGAAGAACCTCCTCTTTCTAGCTATAGGACCAGAAAAAAGACAATCTAACAAGACAGAAAATTTACAGACAGTAATGGCTATGCTATGTCAGAACACCAAAGAAAAATTCCCGTAGTCCCACCTTACCTAAACCATCAAAAGACAAGTGGGGAACCCAGATTCTACTATGTCTAGGCTCTAAAGAAGCACACCCCCCCAAGCCTAGCTGGTGTCCTTGAAGACTAAGTAGGGAGCCAGCCATTTGTAGCCTTGGTATCAATGAAGCCTATATTTTCCTGCAGCACAGCAGTAATGAGGCCTCTTCTATTCTGCACTGGGGGAGTGTAAGAGGAGGCAGAGTGGAGAGTCAGAAGTTTCACCTTCCCAGAACAAATGCTGAGGAAAACAAATCTCAACAAAATATCCATTATCCAGTGAAAATATTCTTCAAAAATTAAAATGAATCAGAGCATTCTCAGATGAATGAAAAATAAGATAATCAGTCACCAATAGATTTACCCTGAAAGCAGGGCTGAAGAAGGTTCTCTAAATGCCAAGGACATTATAAGGAAGGGATCTTAGAACATCAGGAAGAAAGAACACAATAAACAGTAATACGGTAAATACACAAGAATTTTTTTCTCTTCTTGAATTTTCCAAATTATATTTGACAGTTAAAGCAAAAATTATAAACATTGTCAGATGTGCCTCTTTAAGAAAAATAAAGATTTATTTATTTATTTTAGAGAGAGATAATAAGAGGGTGTGCAAGTGGTGGGGAGGGACAGAGAGAGAGAGAGACTCCCCACTTGAGCATGGAGCCTGACATGGGGCTTGATTCAACAACTGTGAGATCCTGACCTGAGCCATAATCAAGAATCAGATGCTTGACCCACTGAGCCACCCAGGCACCCTTGTCAGATGTGTTTCTAAACATAGAGAAAACATTTCAGACAATTATATTATAAAGGAAAGAAGATAAAGGGACATATGAGATCTTAGATTTCTACATTTTACTCAAACTGGTAAATTGACAACACCAGGAGACTATGATAAGTTATGCATATATCATGCAATAGATAGAGAAATCATTAAGAAAAGCTATGTAAATAAATATGCTCAAAACATTATGGATGAATAAAATTAAAATAATAAGAATGTTAAGCAACCACAGTAAGGCACACAAAAGAAAAAAAGAAAACAAACAAACAAAAAAAAACCCTCATAAAATGTCACTTTTAAGTCCTAATATATTGATGATTACATTAAATATAAATGGTCTAAACACAAAAAATAAAAGACAAAAAATGGCAGACTAGATTAAAAACTCACCCAATTATACCCTGTCTATAAGGAATTCAAATATGACTACATAAGAAGGTTGAGAGTAAAAATGTAGAAAAAAAGATATACCATGCAAATATTACTCAAGAGAAAGCATTAGTGACCCTATTAACATTAGATACAGTAGACATTAGAACAAAGAAAATTGCCAGAGAAAGAGTGGGAGATTATATAGGGATAAGAAAGCTTAACCCACAAGAAGGCATAGCAACCCTAAATATGTACATGTCAAACAACAGACCTGTAAAACATGTGAAGCAACAAAGTAATAGAGCAGAATGGAGAAAGAGGCAAATCCTCAACTACAGTTGCAGACTTCAACTGCTCCTTCTTAACAATTGATAAGCTAGACAGAAAATCATCAAGGATATAGAAGGGCTTAATGGCATCATAAATCAATAGGATCTAATGGAACTTACAGAACATTGCACCTAAAAGTAGTAGAATACATATATATTTTTTTAAGAATCTATGGAACCGATGCCAAGATAGACTATAACCTGGAGCACAAAGCAAACATCAACAAATTTAAAAGAATTGAAATCATATCCATGTGTTCCCCAACTGCAATAGAAGAGAAATCAAGAACAGAAAAATAAAAGAAAGATATTCCAAACCTAAAAACTAAATAACACAATTATAAATAATCCATGGGTCAAAGAAGAAGTCTCAAAAAAAATTTAAAACACAATGAATTCGATGAAGTTGAAAATACAACATTATCACAATACGTGGAACATAATTAGCCAGATGAGGAAATTTATCACAGTAAATGTACATACTAGAAAGTGAAAAACTCCCAGATCAATAATCTAAGGTCCCACCTCAAGCACTTAGCAAAAAGACGAACAGAATAAACCTTGATAAAAAATAAAAAACAGGGGCACCTGGGTGGCGCAGTGGGTTAAGCCTCTGCCTTCTGCTCAGGTCGTGATCTCATGGTCCTCAGATCGAGCCCAGCATCAGGCTCTCTGCTCAGCAGGGAACTTGCTTACCCCCCCTCTCTCTGCCTCTCTGCCTCCTTATGGTCTCTATTGTCAAATAAATAAATAAAATGTTTAAAAAACAAACAAACAAACAAAACAAGGGTGGAAATAATAAAGACAGAAGCAGAAATCAAAGAAATTGTAACAGAAAAACAAAAATTGAGTGAAACAGATATGCCTCTAAAAAGATCAGTGAAATTGGCCAACTTTTATCAAGATGAACAAAAAGCCAAGAAGGTACAAATCACTAAATTAGTCATTAAATAAGGGGTGTCACCACAGATCCTGCAGTCATCAAAAGGTAAGTAAGAGAATACTATGAACAACTCTGTACACATAAATTTGACATCTCAGATGAAAAGGATCAATTCCTTGAAAAATACAAACTATTTCTTATGTCCTGAATTGTGATCTCAAAAAAAAAAAAAAAATTGTTGAATTCCTAATCCCCAGTACTTCAGAATGTGATTACATTGAGAAACAGAGCCATTGTAGATTTACAAGTTAAGATGAGGTCACTGGGGTGGGCCCTAATCCAATATGACAGATGTCCTTATAAAAATGGGAAATTTGGACACACACACACACACACGGAGTGAAGATGATATGAAGAGACACAGGGAGAAAGCCGCGTGACGAGGGAAGCAGAGATTGGAATTACACTTCCGTAAGAAAGGACCCTAAGGCGCTATCAGAAACTAGAAAAATCAAGAAAGGATCCTTCTCTGACAAGTTTCAAAGGGACTCTTCCAACATCTTAATTTTGGAGGTCTAGCTTCTGGAACTCTATGACAATACATTTCTGTTCAAAGCCACTCAGTTAGTGGCATTTTGTTATAGAAGCCCTAGGAAACTAAGACACCATCTCAAGTGACCGAATGAAACAAATCATTTGAAGAGCCCTATAACTATTAAGGACATTTGCAATAGAAGAAAACCCTTCCTAAAACATTCTCCAGACTTATATGGTTTCACTGGAGAATTCTGGAGAATTCTGTGACTACTTATAGAAAAAATTAACACCAGTTCAATGCAGTCTCTTCCAAAAAATAGAAGAGAAGTGAATATTTATTTATTTATTCATTCATTCATTTATTTATTCATTTATTTGTTTTAAGTATGCTCCACACCCAGCATGGAGCCCAACATAGTGTTTGAACTCTCAACCCTGAGATCAACACCTGAGCTGAAATCAAGAGTGGAGCTGAGACCAAGAGTTGTAACCTTAACCAACTGAGGTAACGTAACCAGACACTCCTCCAACTTATTTTTTGACGTCCATATTCTTTGATAGCAAAACTAGAGAGATGAAAAGAAAACTATGGGGGCACCTGGGAGGCTCAATGGGTTAAAGCCTCTGCCTTCAGCCCGGGTCATGATCCCAGGGTCCTAGGATCAAGCCCCACATCAGGCTCTCTGCTCAGTGGGGAGCCTGCTTCTTCCTCTCTCTGCCTGCCTCTCTGCCTACTTGTGATCTCCCTGTCGAATAAATAAACAAAATCTTTAAAAAAAAAAAAAAGAAAAAAAACTATGTACAAGCATT